TCTGCTTCTCTTTTGCCTCATATCTTAGATGACTCTACTTTGAGATTGATTTTCCAGATACAATGACATGGATAGGTTAAAGTAGATAGATAGATATAGATAGATAGATGATAGATGATTGAAAGACAAATAGATGATATATAGATGATAGATAGATGATAGATGATTGATAAATAGGTGATGATGATGATAGATAGATAGATGATAGATAAATAAATAGATAGCTAGATAGATTGATTGATTGATAGATAGATAGATAGATAGACAGATAGATGATAGATGATAGATGATGGATAGATGATAAATAGATAAATAGGTGGCAGATAGATGATAGATAGATGTTTTTCTTGTTCTTAGCTTTATGTTTTGATACCTTGATAAACTTAAGTGAAAATAAGTCAGTATGTTATTAAGTGGGGGACTAATTCTAGTCGTTTTTCTTCGCTTTTGCTCACATTGGATGGACGCCCTTCAGAGTCATTTTACACAAACAAGACATACTTTGTAGATAGTGTTCTATCCTATAAAAATGTATCACTAATCATCTTTTTATTGATAAATCATGTTCTGCCCGCCTTTACCTGAGTGCAGATAAGAATCAAACAGCAACTATTATAGCAGCGAGAACACTTTTAATATTCCTGATGGGGCACGGATTAATAAGAAAGGATGGTGGAGGAATGTGTGGGTTGGCAACATGTATAAAATCAAGACTCCAGGTTCCAGCTTATTATCAATTGTTTGCTATGAGATTGTGGGTAACTGGATGAGAATGTTCCTCATTTGTGAAGCAAAGGACATGGTTTAGATCTTTCAAGTTATGATATCCTTCTGAACTTTATTCATTTGGACATTACATTCAATCTCTTGATTAATCACAAATGCCTGAGTTTCTGTCATCATCTGGAGATTCTCTTGCCTAAGTAGACTCACATAGACCCATAATGTTCATATACCACAAGAATCTTGAAGATATCCTTCTGTCAAAACTCCAGCAATATACCAACTATGTTATAGTGAATCTTTTCCTAAGTGGCTTTTCTAGGTGGTGCTTTCTGGAAGGGACCTCCCGGGGCACAGCTTTAAAGCCTCTGGGTTTTCACCTATTAGTTCAGTGTTCAAATTCTCATGTCTTTGTCAGGGACATCGATGAAAAGATGGAAGCATTAAATTTTTATTGAAATCCACTAGATAAACTAACAATAACCTTGCGTTAGAAAGAACTGAACTGTACGTGTACAAAATAAAATTCTACAGGCTTTTAGGAAATGCTTTGAAACTGTAGAACTGAATAAAGTTTTACTTTATAAATTAGACAAAATTTATTTATAATGTAAAGCCAAACCATTAAGGCTAAATAATTATATTTCATTCAGTGATGTGTTATTTAAACCTGTCTCCTACAGTATCTACCAGGGATGTGTTTAAAACGACAAACTGGTTCCCGGCATTTCCAGTTCTAACTGTACAGTTTCTGAAACAGCTACATATTACTATAACAACTGTAACTATATAGGCACATAATTAGGCACTTTATTTTCTCATTGAAATGGCTTCATAATTAGAAATGAGAAGCTGCCTAAACTCTTCTCAATAGTTAGCTTCTGTTCTTCCTTGTATGTAGGACATTTCCAGGGGTTCTCTGCGATTCCTCAAAGAGTCCTCTGTTTTCTACCCTGAAGAAAAGCCCGCTTTTGACTTATGGATCAAAAGAGTTACTACATCCTTAATAGTATCTACTGTGAGGAAAGAAGAAAATATTTATGTACATAAGAAACTGTGTCTATAAGAATCAAATTTTGAAAATGGGGGGTTGATTAAAAATATGATTATCACAGTTGATTGCCAAGAAATACTGAAACACAGCTAATTTCAGTAGTTATTAAAATGAGGATCTTTATAAGGTTTTATAAAGTAGATTTGGTTTGTAGCCTTTCAAATAGTCTCTCTTCCATGCAGAGTTTCACTACTCAAATTATGATATAGTACTGACAACAGATGGCTAACAAAAAATATTAAACTGGGAAAAGTTTGGGCACTTTCTGTAAGTGGATTGATGTTCTTGAGTTTTGACATGTGCTTTATGACCTGAACCTTCTAGATCTACGGAAGACATTTGAGCAGGAACCCCTGGGAAAGGAAGTGTCCCTGGAACAGGAAGTCTTACTCCAGTGTCGGCCACCTGAAGGGATCCCAGTGGCTGAGGTAACAAAAACGCATTGCTTTTAGTAGTTGGCACTTAGTTATTCTAACAGAGGCCTAACCCGTGGCTAATGGTGCAGTGAATTAGGGCAGGGCATGATGAATGGTGGTAATGGAGTCCTAACTGCCTGCTGCTGGCAAAAATAGATTGATTGGGAACTGATTAATGACTGGGGAGTCAATTAGAATGCCCCACTGGACAAAGCTACAGGCAGTGTGATTTAATTTTATCCTTTCTCTTTAAAAAGTCAGAAAAACTATTTAACTTTATCTGTTACCTATAGAAAGAGATGTTATGGCTTAATGTGCCATTAGTTTCATTATTGTTTCATATGACATGTAACAAAATGTTAGCATAAGAAGGATGTGTGTCTGCCCTTGCAGCCTGCTCTGCACATGTGTAAATGCCTCTGATGTCACCACGGACATCGAAAAGCCATATCCACTGCCATAAACATGTTGACTAACATCAAATAAGTTTTCTATCAAATTCTTCATTTTTTTGGTTCTGCTAAAATGAAACCTATTGATTGCTAAAGAAGTATTACAAATCTGATTCCTAGCATGACTTTTCATCAGCACCAAACAATACAATGCCCATTGAAAAGGGCTGTGTTTGGGGAATTGGCCTGCATGACCTACAGGACATTGCATGCTCTCCTGAGGACACTCACCCTAATATTAGAGCATCCTGTTGAAGAAAACTATGTCTTTTTTTTTTTTGTCTTTTTGAGACAGGGTCTCCTTATAGCCCCAGCTATCCTGAAACTCACTATGTAGACCAGGCTGGCCTTGAACTCACAGACATCTGCCTGACTCTGCCTCCTGAGTGCTGGGATTAAAGGTGTGTACCACCACACCCGGCTTTCTGTCTTATTTTTAATAATTCTAGAACAGTGTCCCCTTCACATGGCTAATAGGAAGCCCCTTTAGATTGTCCAACATGATTGTCATCGCTGGTAGAGAGTTTGACAAATTCTAAGTACACTTTCATTTAACAAATAATGTAGTTCCCTATTCCTTGATGGTCCTGGCTAGCCTCCAAATTGCATGAAGTCATTTGGTATTTTTACTCTATTTTGCATATGTGCAAAAAAGGCATACCCACCACTTGTTCTCATTAGGCCTATCTTTGAGTTCAGTGGCTACAGGTCAGCTTATTTTTTTTCATGCAATAAAACCTTGAAATTTTGCCTGCCAGGAAGCTGAAAAATAATAATACTGAAACTTCAAAAGCAATTAATTATTAATAATGTATTTGCTATCTGATTTCTCATAGCATTTCATTCTTTGAAGATTCGTGCAAAGTGGGAGTCAGATATAGTAGCCAACCCCACAACAACCAATTGATCATCTGACTGATGTTTGTGAATTAATATTGATCACAAATTATTTGAAAATATAAGCAAAAGGTCTCCATTTTTAACATAAGCCTTTATAGCTCTATGACTCAATGCAAAAACTGATTTCCAGTTTTACTCTGAAAGAAGAGAACTATTTTTTGCCATGTAATTGGCATCTCATGACACTTTCCAGTGCTGCACCAGAAACCGTGATTGTCACTCTGTCAGCTAATAGCATATCCTCATCTTGCAGCATAGAGACTCTTCTCTATTCAACATTTCATTTCAGTGGTTGTAATAGTGCCTCTGACTCCCTAATTGTTGTTCTCCAGCAAACCTCTCCCAAGAAGCCACCCTGAAGTCAAAATATCTCATGAGTCACATTGGCATCCACAGCCTCACTTTTACTTAAGACTTCTTACAAGCTGCTGGCTCTGGAAAGTCAGTGAGAGGATCATGATGTCTTTTTTTCTTTTTTTCCCATTCTCAACAAAGTAGTTCACTTTGTCAAGGAGTAAAGATTCATGACTTCAAACTAATTGGCTGTGAATTTTATTTGTAACATCACTGGGGAAGAGTCTAATTAACATTTGGCAAGTTCAAAAATCATATACCCATTTGACATTCAAAGAACTATATTTAATGCATATTACTTTTCTTTCCTTTTTTTAAGTATGAAGAGAGATCAAATACACATGCTCAAGAGCAGGCTAATAAACTCCTGTGTAGATTCTTTTCAACTCTACTGAAATCACCAAGATCAGAAAGTTAATGAATGCCTTAACATGACATATTACAACTGCCATTTGCTCAAGAGAAACTGAAAAATGTAAAAAGGATGAAAGTTAACTTGAAAGTTAAAATATAAATGCATTCCACTATTTTATTTTCATTTATTTGTTTAAGGAATTTGAAAGCATAAAAATGACCTAAAATAAGATATTGATCTTAACACGAAGCCAGCAGGTAAAATGCATGTGTTTTATGATCATTAGATCAGCCTTAGGAGGTCAGTCTGGATGGATGTGTGCTTCATTGATACCAAAGCAACTGGTTCTAAGGAAAAGCAGACAGAAAACTTACAATGAACACATGGCTGGTCAATTGAATTGATCTTTGCTTTATAAACATATGGCTGGCTCTACTGATGAAGTTATATTCTTTACAAATATCAGGAATCAGTAATCTCCTCTAGCTATCTAAATCAGCAAGTTTTCTTTTTTACTTCTAAGCTCAGTTATGATAGCCCTGCACTGTGTACTTACAATGTGGTAGGTATTACTGAGGTAGTAACAGTTGATATCTCCCCTATTTGAACATTCTATGGTGTCTTTTGTGGAACAGGAACCTAATTTCCTTACAGAACTCCAGATTTAGAGCTGGACAAATGGTTCAGTGGTTAAGAGTATTGACTGCTTTTACAGAGGATGCAGGTTCGATTCTCAACACCCACACAGTGGCTAACAACTGTCTATAACTCCAGTTCCAGGGGATCCAATGCCCTCTTCTGACCCTCACAGGCATTTCACAACATAGGTGCACTTCCATACATGCAGGCAACGCATTCATACATATTAAATAAAAATAAAAAATAAAATATTTTTTAAAAAAGTACTCTAGGTTTAAATCCAAGCGTGATCAAGTTTTTCTCTTTGACCTTAGGTAAGGTATTTAAATCATTTGAACCTAGTTTTTTTCTTTTCAATCATAAAAGAGAGATGATAGTATTTATGCACTCTATGTTCTGGGAATTTAAATAAGATGGTAAGTGAAAACCATTTAGAACATGTGAAACCCCATCAAGGACTATCAACCATTATTTAATCTAATATTATGAGTTATTAATTTCCAGAAGACTGAATTCAACATCATAAATCAAAATCTTTACTGAGTACATTTACCCATACTCTGCTCCCTGGTACCCCAGAGAGGGAAACTTCTGGTCTATGAAGAATCACCAAGAGGCCTCCTGTATTCCTTAGCCATTTGATTTGCTTGGAGGCCATTAGTGCTACAGATGAATATCACAATGCCTTCCAGCAGTTCTAATCAAACAATTGGCTCTATTTTCTCATTGCTGTGATACCTGTGATAACAAATAACCTGACAAAGAGCAATTTAAGGAAAGAAGGGTGTATTTCTGGCTTATAGTTTGAGGCGATGAAGTTCATTACAAAGGATAAGGCAGGGCAACAGGAGTGTGAGGCAGCTGCTTACATTGCATCTGCATTCAGAACTCAGAGAGGCCAGTTTATCAAACCACAAGGCACGCCTCCCACTGCATCACTTCCTCCAGCAAGGCTTCAGCTCCTAAAGATTTCATAACATTCCAAACAGCACTATCAGGTGGAGACCAAGTGTTCTAATACATGAGCCTATGGGGAACATTTCACATTCAAACCACAGTCCTGGCTAATGTCACAAAGTGATGCTGTCTTCTTTTCATCATTAGTTACTTTCACTCATCTGGTTCTCCTGGTCCCAAGATAGTGGAACAGCCTTGCATTTTCTCTCAAAGAGGAAATTTAGAAAGAGGCTACTGTTCATACATCGTTTTTTCAAGAGCCCAAGGAAAGACAATAGTGAAGAAAGTCTCACAGAGGATGAAGAAACCAACCTAGGATTCTGTATACTCCATCTTTCCAAGTGACAACAGTTTTAAATATGAGCTGCTTCTAACACAATTGGTGAAGAAAGATGTGAAGACCCAGGAATGAAGCCTAGTTTCACAGCTCTAGACTTTGCTATTTCCTCCTCTAGAGTTTTTGCACATCCCTTCTTTCTGCACTATTCTTTCATAACTAGAGATGTTGTTTAAAAATATTTAATAGCTACACAGCATTCTTAGCACAGAGTCCTAAGAACCTTGTGTTGTGTCAGATCTAGTGCCATTAGTGATTTGATTCATGGTGTTCCAGGGATACCAAGGAGCCAGCCAGGGTACAGGAATAAAGGACACTCAGTTATTTGGCAATGTGTTCAGAGCTGATTCAGTTTTAACACCTGGTGTGAGGAAATGTGTGACTGGATAAATGGCAGCCCCAGTAGACTACAATTTTATGTTTGTGTAGAAATTCATCAGCCTACTCTTCTGTATGATTATATTTTGGCTCTTGTTTTATCTCTAATGACACCAAACTAAAGGTTACTTAGTAGATATTCAAAGTCTATTAAACCTGATGAATAAAGAGAGTAGATTGGATATGATGGAGAGGCAGCCCCTCGGGAAGTAGAAATTTCTAGAAAGGTAATTTTGGCATATAAAGATATAACCTCACTAAAAGAAACCCATGTGTCCCCGTGATATAGAATCTTTCAGTCTGAACCCTGAAAGCAGGATTCCAAACCACCAGGACCCAGAATAAAAGGCCACTTCAGAGATGCTTCAGCTCAAGAATCACAGAGGCGTTACAAAAAAATAAGCTCACTAAAGTTCTAAAGTAGAATATTTGAAAGAAAGAAAAGCTAATCCCAGAAATACTTTTGGGTTATATTGCTCATTTACTAGAATCAATCCAAAAATATAATTTATTTTTCATTTCTGATGATGTTTACCTCCATTTCAATAGGAAAACCTCTCTTCTATCTCCCTGAAGAAACTAGAAAATTAATATGCAGTGTAACTGGTCCTGGGCTGTTCCCAGGGCGTAGTAGCAACCC